GAAACTAAAGAGACCTATTCTTAAGTGTGAAATAACTAAAGTTCAGATTGAGCATTTATCGCCTTTCAAATTTAATTCTGGAATGACTTTACAGAAATATGAAATTGCACTGTATTTCAGAAAACACAGGCAATATTCAGTGTTTACTGTCAATATATATACATAAAACAATTTAACCTGATCAATCATTGTAATAATTACAATGCCTAAGTCACTAGTATGAAATATCCTTTGCCTGACTTATAATATGAAACATCCTATTTGCTACGAATATTTCTGCTTATAACTCTCTCCTTCAAAGCAAAATCTTCAAAAGATTTTGAATTCCCCTAAAACGACTAAAGCATTTCTACATCATCAGAAAGTTTACAGTTTGGGGCAAAAGAATCTTATGGCTAAAAAAACCAACAATACTATTATAAAATATATCTTAAAATATTTAATTTCACACACAGCTTTGAAAACTGAGAAAGTGTTAAAATTAAAATCCTGTGCACAATTCTCAAAGATTCATTGATAGGACAGGGATCTTAAGTTATATACAAAAAAATGTCTTTTTTGAACTTATAAAATGCCATTAAAGTGGAGGATACAGGATTTGGCTGGAATGCATTTTAGAAACTCTATTCATGATCCAATATCCTCTCTAATAAAGTTTCATCTTTTTCAATGCTAAACTAAATTTACATATGCCCTTTATTTTCTAGACTTTAAGTGGGTGTGCTGAGTAACACTGAAAAGAGCAAAAACTATGGCAGGTGTGCAGCTACAGTATGTAAGTAAAAGGGAAGGGAATAATAGAAATATTTGTCAGTCAAAACTCATCTTTGAGACTTTACCCTTCATCTTGACAGGCAGAGCATATTCCCATTGTTTTGATCTGATGAGACGAACTACAGAAACTTGACAATCTTCACCCTTAAAATGGAAATCTTCCCAGTGATTCAAGCAAATATTAAATGTTGCTTTATAAAAAGTGATCTTTCTAAAAAAAAAAAATGGAGATTGGCATTTGCTTTCCCTAGGAAAGAATCAGTGATTTTGTTTTATTTTATTTTATTTTTCTATAAAACTCCTTTGCTTGTAACACAGGCTGTAAAGTTTAGAACATATATAGAGAAATCAAGGTACTTTGCTGTTTTTGGTTTTGGACAGGCAAATTATATCTATTTGCTGCACTGACTTTCGTTGTGTGCCTGTGAATGCACAATAGTCTCTTTCACCTATGCAACTCTTCTTCCAACTTCTGTTTACACCGCAGTCTCTCCTGATACATGCAGACTTTTCAGCAGCGTATTGATTCAAAAAATTGTAGCTTCTATAGTTCTGGGTGTAAAGTGCTTTGAGACTACATGGATGTCACTAAATAAATGCAATCGTTCCTGGGTGGTTCCTTGACAAGATCATCTCTCCAAGTATGACATTCGGTTTCTTTTAATAGTAAGAGAAAAGCTGTTTTTGTTGCTGAATGGTTCACTGAATAATAACCTAAAATATAAAGTATAGCTGGACACCCGTGCTTTGCAATGAAACTATGTGATCGGGCAATGCAGGAGAAATCCAGTTCACTCTGCTTCAATCGGTTGGCTCAGTGGTGGTCAGTGACTGAAACACATACTGTAAGGGAATATCGCTGCCACCATCTTGATTCTGGAAGCAGTTCCATAGTGGAAGGTGTAAACATCTTGGTGAGGTACCAATGTTTAGTACTGTAAGGAACCCCAGATCGCTCCTGAGTGAAGGAGTGGAACGTCTGCCAGCTTGAACTGAGGTAATGGAATATGGAGCAACTGGCAGCTGGAACAGAATTCTTTTCAAGTGGGGAGGGGGAGTAGAATGTCTAACTGCTTAGCATCAGAGCGTGTTAATATAAGGCAACTGGCAGCTGGAATGGAGTTCTTTTCAGATGGGAGGGGGAGTAGAACTCCTTAGCATCAGAGCATGTTAATTACTGTATAAGATATACTAATGATCTGATAGTCAAATCCTTTCTTAGCGAGCACCTAGAAGTCAAAAGGAACATATGTGCCAAATTTCAAGTTTGTAGGCTTTACGGTTCTGGAGATCTTGTGATGAGTGAGTGGTATTTGCCTTTTATATAGATTAGAATAGAGGGGACGATTCACAAAAATCTTTGTTTTCATTGTTATCTATAAACCCCATGGAGTTCCAGAGATATATCTGGGGACTATAATTGCTATGGTATGAAACCTACAGAATCAGACTAAATTATGATGGAGAGGATGCTTGAGTGTGTGGCCTCTCTGCTGGTGCATATAACATGAAATCATGGCTTATCATTATGTATGAATTTGACCAAAGTATCACTGAAGTAGGGGTAGGGAAACAGCCTTGTAATATATATTTGTTTTCAGACAGTAACAAGCTCAGTGAAGGAAGGGAGACATATTCCTCCAGTCATGGTCATTCACATAGATGAGAGATGAGAGTATACAACTTTTGGGAATCAAGAGCTTCTGGGTTGTTGAACAGCATGCTACATGTCATACTTCAAAAACTGATGGATTAAAGTTAGAAAAGATGGTGAGGCCAGAACAAAAGAAAAGTCTATGGAGATACTCAATCATCCAGGTCATGGTTGTCCCAAAGGTGCTTTTTCAAAAGGCAACTGGATTTTATTTGTTTTTCCTTGAAGTTTTTCTTGGATGAGAAGTGAAATGTCTTCAAGGAAAAACAAAGTCCAGTTGCCTCTTGAAAAAGCATCTTTGGGACAATAAAAGAAATAGTTATTTCCTTTGCCTTTACATTTAATTACAATCAAATCCCTTTTAAATGTTTTGCTCCCAAATATTTCATATAGCAGGACCCTTTATCTGAATCAAATAGTGCAGAACTACATATGTGGATATGACGGGGCTAAACTGTAAGGATAATATAGAAATTTGATTTGCATTTACTTTGAGTTCTAACTTTTTGTAACATATGGTCTTATTATTGTTCGGTATTTTATACATTATACCTGATATGGGTTAATGGATAATCAATAAAGTAAAGTATGGGTATTTTTTCTTCCTTTTATGATATTAGAAATGGCTTGCAATAGTGGCGAATATCTGTAGCTCAAGCATAGGATGTAGGTGAAGATTCATTCTCTGAGCTTGTGGGTTGGTTTCCAAACATTTCATTACCAGGCTAGGTAGCGTCTTCAGTGGAGTTTAGGGGATGTCAGTGTTCTTCTATTTATAACAGCTTCAGGTGTGGGTATATCAGGTGAGGGTCTTGTGATGGGTCTTTTGATTGGTCATGTGTGAGTCATCAGTGAGTGTTTTGTGATAGGTTACATCAGTCAAGGTCCTTGGGAGGTGAACTGATAGTGTGGGGTGGGGACGGACTTGCGTGGGTTGGTTGAGAGTTGGTACTATCTCTGGTTGGCTGTGCAGCTGATTTGGATTCTGAGGGGTTTGTAGGATGGTTGTAAGTCAGTGTGTCTATTGATGGAACTGCTTGTGGAGTGTCAGGCTTTGATGAACTCCCCAGCATGGAGGGTGGTACCATGGCCGATGATTTTTGTGTTTCTCCAATCAAACTGGTGCCGTTTGGTGTTGATGTGGATAGAAATTAAGGATTTGGGATCGTGGCATTTGACTGCCAGCTGGTGTTTGTGGATCCTGATTCTTAACTGATGTTTGTCCCATAGAATTGGGTTGCAATGAGTTACAGTTGATTTTGTAGATTACATTTTTTTCTTTCATCCTTCTGTATCTTGTCTTTGGTTCTGGATAATTCTTGGCAGATTGTGGCTGTGGGTTTGTGGGCTATTGCTATTCCTAGGGGTTGGAGGATTCTGGCTGTCATTTCTGACACACAAGATGTAAATAAGTAAGTAAATAAGTAAAACTACTGGGAAAAACTGAAAATGCAGGGACAGATTATGTATTTCACTTCACCGGCAGAGTTTACACTGATGCAAAAGACTCCCAGGTTTAATATTTGGAATCCATTAAAAGAACTGAGAATGGTTTTTATTGAGAACTGCTCCTAGCCACTTGATAGAGCAAACAGATCAATGGAACAGTGTTTATGCATTTGCAACAGAATGCATGCACTTGAGAAACAGGCAGACACTTCTGGCCTGTGAAAATATTATAAAGCATCTTCTCCATTTACAGATATAGATTGCACTGACCCTTCATCTGGAACTGATCCAGGTGTATTACTTCGTTTACAATAAAGATCACCAATGGGGCATTTATTTGCCCTCATCAAGATGGCTTTGATTTTGACTGAAATATGAATTTTATTAGTCACTAGTCAATAACCTGGCGTCGCCTGGGTATTTATTTACAGGGGGAAAATGCCCGGATCAAATGTACTTTCTAATGTTGGATTTTCCCCCTTACCAGAGGGAGTCCCCTTGTGGAGTACTGTGAAGTCGTTACCATGGCAACTCCACTGTGTGCACAGTAGAAGCCATTTTATGGCACAACACGCTGTATCTTAACAGAACATACACCCAGAGGGATGTTAGAGATGTCTTACCCCCACAGTATTGTTTCCAAAGAGTAAGTCATCTGTGTACCAAGTTCAGTTGAAATTGCTCGAGGCGTTCCATATTTATGCTGGAACACACACACACACACACCACCACCACCACCACCACCAACAACAACAACAACATTTTTATATATTAGTCATTTGAACCACGGTGGCGCAGAGGTTAGCATGCTGTACTGCAGGCTACTTCTGCTGCCTGCCGGTTGCCTGAAATTTGGCAGTTCAAATCTCACCAGGTTCAAGGTTGACTCAGCCTTCCATCCTTCAGAGGTCGGTAAAATGAGGAGCCAAATTGTTGGGGACAATATGCTGACTCTGTAAACCGCTAAGGGAGGACTATAAAGCACTGTGAAGCGGTATATAAGTCTAAGTGCTATTGCTATTTTAAACCATCCTGTTTGGCTCACTTTATCACAGCCTCTCCCCTCTCTCTCACCACTCACCCATTGTCTAAAACAAGAATGGTGGTCAGGATGCCTACTTACATGTTTTGAAAAGAAGTCATCCACCTCTTGAAGCAGCTTCTCCTGACATTGGGGGTTGGTAGCCAGCAGGTAACTACCAAAGGAAAGTGTGCTGTTGCTGGTTTCATAGCCAGCAATTAGGAACAAGGAGGCTTGTCCAGCTATCTCATCATCAGTCAACCACATCTGCTGCTTTTTTGGCAGAGCTTCAGGGAAATCATCTTGACTGACTTTGTCTGACTGATCCATGACGATGTCAGTGGTGGGAATCCGTGCATCAAGCATCAGCTGGAGAAAATCTCTGCGTCTCTGTAAAGCATATTGTGAAAGAAATTAAAAATCAAGGAGTCTGGTCGTATTTCTTCCAACTAAGAAAATATTTAAAACTATAAATATATGGAATCATTGAAGTGAGCTGCAGTTCATGGATGTTTACGCTTTTTCATAAAATGTGATAGTTAGAAATTTGACTACTATACTCCTAATTTTTTGACACAAGACGTCTCTGCCCTGCAGAGGCAAAAGGAGTTACTAGTTGAACAGCAAGTTATTAGCTAGATCAGGGTGTCAAACTGGATTTCTTTGCAGGCCAGATTCGCATTGTAGTTTGCCAGGGACCACTTAAAAGGGGAGGAGATGTGACGGATGACTTCTACAGCACTTTGGCTGCACAAGCTTCCCTGCGCCCCGTTTTGTGCCTGGATGGCTTCTTGCAGTACTTTACTGGCCAAAACAGGGTGCAGGGGAGCCCAAGAAACCATGGGTCAGTCCTTTGTTATTTCCAGGCCAGCCCCACGGGTCAGATTTAAGCACCCCACAGGCCGGATTCGGCTCACGGGCTTGAATTTGACACCCCTGAGTTAGATGAACATAATTTGCAGGTAGTCTTCAACTTACAACAGTTCATTTAGTGACCATTTGAACTTACAGTGGCTCTGAAAAAAGTTACTTATGACCATTTTTCACACTTACGACCATTGCAGCAACCTCGTGGTCCCGTGATCAAAATTCAGACACTTGCCAACTGACTCATATTTATGATGGTTGCAGTTTCCCGAGTTGATCACTTTTTGCGGCCTTCTAACAAGCAAAATCAATGGGGAAGCCAGATTCACTTAACCGTGTAACTAACTTAACAATTGCAGTGATTCAAGAAACAATGGTGTTAAGAAAGGCCACGGTGGTTAGAGTGCAGTACTGCAGGCTACTTCTGCTGGCTGCTGGCTGCCTGCAATTTGGCAGTTCAAATCCCACCAGGCTCAAGGTTGACTCAGTCTTCCATCCTTCTAAGGTGGGTAAAATGGGAACCCAAAATTGTTGGGGGCAATAGGCTGACTCTGTAAACCGCTTAGAGAAGGTTGTAAAGCACTGTAAAGTAGTATATAAGTCTAAATGCTATTGCTAAGTGCTATTGCTAAAATGGAGCAAAATTCAGTTAACAACTGCCTCACAGAAATTTTGGCCTCCATTGTGATTTCCAGTCAAAGACTACCTGTATTCTGACTGCTTCCATGTCTTTTCTACAGAAGACAGCAAACCCTCTTTTCTTCATTGCTACGTAATTACAGCCACATTTTCCAGCCTTCTTTTTTTAAAGCAGAGGTGAGTAACCCATAATCCGTATATCACATTTCTTCCCCAGAATTGGATCAGTGATTTGGTTTTGCATTATGTTTTATTACAATACAATAGCAGAGTTGGAATGGACCTTGGAGGTCTTCTAGTCCAACCCCCTGCCTAGGCAGGAAACCCTATACCGTTTCAAACAAATGGCTATCCAGTATCTCCTTAAAGACTTCCAGTGTTGGAGCATTCACAACTTCTGGAGGCAAGTTGCTCCACTGATTAATTGTTCTAACTGTCAGCAAATTTCTCCTTAGTTCTAAGTTGCTTCTCTCCTTGATTAGTTTCCACCCATTGCTTCTTGTTCTACACTCAGGTGCCTTGGAGAAGAGTTTGACTTCCTCTTCTTTGTGGCAACCCTTGAGATCTTGGAACACTGCCATCATATCTCCCCTAGTCCTTCTTTTCATTAAACTAGACATACCCAGTTCCTGCAACCGTTCTTCATATGTTTTAGTCTCAAGTCCCCTGATCATCTTTGTTGCTCTTCTCTGCACTCTTTCTAGAGTCTCCACATCTTTTCTACATTGTGGCGACCAAAACTGAATGTAGTATTCCAAGTGTGACCTTACCAAGGCATTATAAAGTGGTATTAACACTTCACGTGATCTTGATTCTATCCCTCTGTTTATGCAGCCTAGAACTATGTTGGCTTTTTTGGCAGCTGCTGCACACTGCTGGCTCATATTTAAATGGTTGTCCACTAGGACTCCAAGATCCCTCTCACAGTTACTACTATTGAGCAAGGTACCACCTATACTGTACCTGTGCATTTCGTTTTTCTTGCTTTAATGTAGAATCTTACTCTTTTCACCATTGAATTTCATTTTATTAAATAGTGCCCAATGTTCAAGTTTATCAAGATCCTTCTGTATCTTAAGCCTATCTTCTGGAGTGTTCACTATTCCTGCCAGCTTGGTGTCATCTGCAAATTTGATGAGTTCCCCATTTATTCCCTCATCCAAATCATTAATGAAGATGTTGAAGACTACTGGGCCTAAAACAGAGCGTTGGGGTACTCCACTGCATATTTCCCTCCATTGTTATTATTGTTGCTTGGCTAACATTTGAACCTAAAACAGGTATGGGAAATCACAAGAGTCAGATACATGGGGGGGATCACACACCCCCATTTGATTCCACTCTCCCTCATGACTTTACTGCATTGTGGTGAGAAGCTTGGTGAGCTGAATATGTAACTATGAGGAAAATGTAAATACATGTCTTTTTTAGGGGGGGATGCCTAACTCTTCAAATAAAGTTCAGAAGTTCTTCTTTCTGGCTAAACTAAATGCAGTCTGGAGAAGATCCCATTTTTTCTTTCAATTTTCTTTTTTTCTGAAAAGCAGTCTAGCAGCTTGAATTTAGGATCAGATTCTAAATCTTTACAAGTATCCTTAACACTGAAGTGGGGAAAAAATCATGCCCAGTTATCCTCAATAAATGTATCTAGGCTGCAGCTGCAAATCACACTAACCTATGATTTCCTTTAATGTTGGTTTGTTGGACAAAACCAAAGCCACTCTTGCAGGCCACCAATGACTCGTGTATAGACTGATTAGGCATTTGGGGGAGGGCATAGAAGAATATACCAGCAACAGACATCATTTTTTACAATACATTTTTTAAAAATAGTACTGACATTAATAGTGGATAATAACATCCCTGTTAAGAAAATACATGTTCTCAAACTGTTAGGGTCACTCCCTAGTTTACGTGGGTGAAAAGCTGATAAGTATGTGAGTAAATATAATGTCCCAAAAATTGTTAGAGACATCTCCAAAAAATTGGTACAAGTTGACAGCTATAATTCTGTAACCATTTTTTTTTTCTTATGGACATTGCAGCAACACAGAATTTTGCCACTGCATACGTAGTAGACGGGCTTGAGTCCTGGAGGAGAAAGCCTACATAAAAACTGTCTGTCCTGGGGGAGGGCATATAATCTCTCCCAAGATTACTCACCCATGGTATGCTAGGTCAAAAAACAAAACAAAGCAAAAACACCCACATTGTGATTTATCAGAAAACATAGATCGAGCAACACTTCACAGTTACCCTCCGTTAAACTTAGACTGCGCCTAGAATTGGGACAAAGCCTTTTTTGGGGCTGTATGCTTCTTTGAAACCAATACTGAAAATAACCCTTTAATATCTTAGATACATGTTGCCTTTTTCAGTTAGGAGTGCATATCTCCTCCCTTAAATGAGAATTCTTTTAAAAGAATCCTTTCTAATAATATTAAGCTGGTGCTGACTCAGCGATGCATATGACATTCTCTTGTTTTCAGCTCCCTTCCCTAGAATCTGCCCACATGTTTTTTTTTCTGTTTAGCAATCACTTTTTATGACTTTATGAGTGAGAGTGACCTGACCTATTAGCCTTCAGTCCCTCATAATTTTATTTGTTTGTTAGATTCATATCCTGCCTTTCCTCCAAAAGCTCAAGTCAATTTACATTTTCACATTCCTTATGTTCAGCTGAACTGAAAGAAATATATCCCAGTGAGTTTCTATAGCTAACTACTGATTTAAACTGGGTTTCCATATCCTACCATTAAAATTTATACACCAGGGATACATATGCTTATAGAATTTTTGGATGACAACAGAAGTGAGGTCCCTCTCTATTTTCTCCAATATGACACAAGAAATATTGCAACACTATAATATTCTCCTATCATGTATTACAGTATAACATTATAATCTTTTGTTTTATTCCCCCCCACACAAACACACTATTGCCAATACTGTAATGTTTCTCCTTATTTCCATTGGCCAAGGTGATTTAAACAAACTTTAAAATGTTTGTCAAACACAAACATTGTTAACACTGTCCAATTTCCTAAAGACCCCTAGGAGTTATTAAAAACAATGAGAAACAATATTACAGAGAAAACTATGATGTGTGTACATTAGATTTTAAAAATCTCCTGGTGTGGCGGGTGGGGGGGAGATCCAAAACTCATGTTATATAAATGACACAAAAAGTATTCAAAGGTGTTTATTGACAGGGGGTGGGGAGAGAATCAGAACTGGATATGTTTTCATGTCTTTTGGCTGATCCTAATAAAGCTATGACCCTTTTCCATTTACCCATTTAAAACTGAATATATTTTAAGGGTGACTTGCATTTTTTGACTAGGTGAACATATTCCATATACCATTTGTATACATATTAGATGCAACAAAGTATTTCGCTTCTTTGCCTATTTATAAGATATGAGATTTTTGTGGGTGGTGGTGGTGGTGATGGTGGTGGTATGTTTGTGTGTGTGTTTGTGTGTGTGGTGATATTCAAATTTTTTTACTACCGGTTCTATGGGCATGGTTTGGTGGGTGTGGCAGGGGAAGAATACTGTAAAATCTCCATTCCTTCCCCACTCCAGGGAAAAGCTAATGTAAAAATCTCCATTCCCTCCCCACTCCAGGGGAAGGATACTGTAAAATCTCCATTCCCTCCCCACTCCAGGGGAAGGATACTGTAAAATCTCCATTCCAAACCCACTCCAGGGAAAGGGATACTGTAAAATCTCCATTCCAACCCCACTCCAGGGGAAGGATAGTGTAAAATGTCCATTCCTTCCCCACTCCAGGGGGAGGATACTGTAAAATCTTCATTCCAACCCCGTTCTATGGGAAGGATGCTGTAAAATCTCCATTCCCTCCCCACTCCAGAGGAAGGT